ATAGTATCATATCATCTGCAAAGAGTGATAGTTTGACTGCTTCTTTGCTGATTCAGTGCCTTTAATTTCTTTTTGTTGTCTGATTGCTGAGGCTAGGACTTCTAGTACTATGTTGAATAGCAGTGGTGATAACGGACATCCCTGCCGTGTTCCTGACCTTAGCGGAAAAGCTTTCAGTTTTTCTCCATTGGGAATGATATTTGCGGTGGGTTTTTCATAGATGGCTTTGATAATATTGAGGTATGTGCTCTCTATCCCTATACTTTGAAGAGTTTTGATCAGGAAGGGATGTTGTACTTTGTCAAATGCTTTTTCAGTATCTATTGAGAGTATCATATGGTTCTTGTTCTTTCTTTTATTAATGTATTGTATCACATTGATTGATTTGTGGATCAGCCCTGGAATAAATCCCACTTGGTCGTGGTGAATAATCCTTGTACTGTACTGTTGAATCCTATTGGCTGGTATTTTGGTGAGAATTTTTGCATCTGTGTTCATCAAGGATATTGGTCTCTAATTCTCTTTTTTGATGGGATCCTTGTCTGGTTTTGGGATCAAGGTGATGCTGGCCTCATAAAATGAGTTTGGAAGTTTTCCTTCAATTTCTATTTTTTGGAACAGTTTCAGGAGAATAGGAAATAGTTCTTCTTTAAATGTTTGGTAGAATTCCCCCGGGAAGCCGTCTGGCCCTGGGCTTTTGTTTGTTTGGAGATTTTTGGTGACTCTTTCAATCTCCTTACTGGTTATGGGTCTGTTCAGGTTTTCTATTTCTTCCTGGTTCAGTTGTGGTAGTTTATAGGTCTCTTGGAATGCATACATTTCTTCCAGATTGTCAAATTTGTTGGCGTAGAGTTGCTCATAGTATGTTCTTATAATTGTCTGTATTTCTTTGGTGTTCGTTGTGATCTCTCCTCTTTCACTCATGATTTTATTTATTTGGGTCCTTTCTCTTTTATTTTTGATAAGTCTGGGCAGGGGTTTATCAATCTTATTAATTCTTTCAAAGAACCAGCTACTAGTTTCGTTGATTTGTTCTATTGTTTTTTTGGTTTCTATTTCATTGATTTCTGCTCTGATCTTTAGGATTTCTCTTCTCCTGCTGGGTTTAGGGTTTCTTTCTTGTTCTTTCTCCAGCTCCTTTAGGTGTAGGGTTAGGTTGTGTACCTGAGACCTTTCTTGTTTCTTGAGAAAGGCTTATACCGCTATATATTTTCCTCTCAGGACTGCCTTTGTTGTGTCCCACAGATTTTGAACCGTTGTGTTTTCATTATCAATTGTTTCCATGAATTTTTTCAATTCTTCTTTAATTTCCTGGTTGACCCATTCATTCTTCAGCAGGATGCTGTTTAGTCTCCATGTATTTGGGTTCTTTCCAAATTTCCTCTTGTGATTGAGTTCTAGCTTCAGAGCGTTGTGGTCTGAAAATATGCAGGGAATGATCCCAATCTTTTGATACCGGTTGAGACGTGATTTAGGACCGAGGATGTGATCTATTCTGGAGAATGTTCCATGGGCACTAGAGAAGAATGTGTATTCTGTTGCTTTGGGATGAAATGTTCTGAATATATCTGTGATGTCCATCTGGTCCAGTGTGTCATTTAAGGCCTTTATTTCCTTGTTGATCTTTTGCTTGGATGATCTGTCCATTTCAGTGAGGGAAGTGTTAAAGTCCCCTACTATTATTCTATTATTTTGATGTGTTTCTTTGATTTTGTTATTAATTGGTTTATATAGTTGGCTGCTCCCACGTTAGGGGCATAGATATATACAATTGTTAGATCTTCTTGTTGGACAGATCCTTTGAGTATGATATAGTGTCCTTCCTCATCTCTTATTATAGTCTTTGGCTTAAAATCTAATTGATCTGATATAAGGATTGCCACTCCTGCTTTCTTCTGATGTCCATTAGCATGGTAAATTCTTTTCTACCCCCTCACTTTAAATCTGGAGGTGTCTTCGGGTCTAAAATGAGTTTCTTGTAGGCAACATATAGATGGGTTTTGTTTTTTTATCCATTCTGATACTCTGTGTCTTTTGATTGGGTCATTTAGCCCATTAACATTCAGGGTAACTATTGAGAGATATGAATTTAGTGCCATTGTATTGCCTGTAAGGTGACTGTTATTGTATATTGTCTCTGTTTCTTTCTGATCTACTACTTTTAGGGTCTCTCTTTGCTTAGAGGACCCCTTTCAATATTTCCTGTAGAGCTGATTTGGTGTTTGCAAATTCTTTCAGTGTTTGTTTGTCCTGGAAGCTTTTAATCTCTCCTTCTATTTTCAATGATAGCCTAGCTGGATATAGTATTCTTGGCTGCATGTTGTTCTCGTTTAGTGCTCTGAATATATCATGCCAGCTCTTTCTGGCCTGCCAGGTCTCTGTGGATAAGTCTGCTGCCAATCTAATATTTTTACCATTGTATGTTACAGACTTCTTTTCCCGGGCTACTTTCAGGATTTTCTCTTTGTCACTAAGACTTGTAAATTTTACTATTAGATGACGGGATGTGGACCTATTCTTATTGATTTTGAGGGGGCGTTCTCTGAACCTCCTGGATTTTGATGCTTGTTCCCTTTGCCATATTGGGGAAATTCTCTCCAATAATTCTCTCCAATATACCTTCTGTTCCCCTCTCTCTTTCTTCTTCTTCTGGAATCCCAATTATTCTAATGTTGTTTCGTCTTATGGTGTCACTTAGCTCTCGAATTCTCCCCTCGTGGTCCAGTAGCTATTTGTCCCTCTTTTGCCTAGCTTCTTTATTCTCTGACATTTGGTCTTCTATATCACTAATTCTTTCTTTTGCCTCATTTATCCTAGCAGTGAGAGCCTCCATTTTTGATTGCCCCTCAGTAATAGCTTTTTTGATTTCAACTTGGTTAGATTTTAGTTCTTTTATTTCTCCAGAAAGGGCTTTTATATCTCCCAAGAGATTTTCTCTAATATCTTCCATGCCTTTTTCAAGCCTGGCTAGAACCTTGAGAATCATCATTCTGAACTCTAGATCTGACATATTACCAATGTCTGCATTGATTAGGTCCCTAGCCTTTGGTACTGCCTCTTGTTCTTTTTTTTTGTGGTGAATTTTTCCGCCTTGTCATTTTGTCCAGATAAGAGTATATGAAGGAGCAAGTAAAATACTAAAAGGGTGGCAACAACCCCAGAAAAATATGCTTTAACCAAATCAGAAGAGATCCCAAATCATGAGGGGGGAGAAAGGGGATAAAAAGAGGTTCAGAAAGAAAAAAAATAAAAGAAGAAGAAGAAAGAAAAAAAAAGAAACAATTAAAAAAAAGAAAACAAATAAAAAATATTAAAAAGAAAAAATATATACATATTAGTTAAACTGGTTAAAAAACGTTAAAAAAGAAAAGGGTAAAAGATAAAATTTGGCAGAAGAAGAAAAAAAATTTGAACAAGAAAAAAAATTAAATTAACTGCAAGGCTAAAGAATCATGGGGAGAAAGCCATGAGTTCCGTGCTTTGCTTTCTCCTCCTGTGGAATTCCGCCGCTCTCCTTGGTATTGAAACTGCGCTCCTAGGTAGGTGAACTTGGTCCTGGCTGGGCTTCTTGTTGATCTTCTGGGGGAGGGGCCTGTTGTAGTGATTCTCAAGTGTCTTTGCCCCAGGCGGAGTTGCACCGCCCTTACCAGGGCCGGGCTAAGTAATCCGCTCGGGTTTGCTTTCGGGAGTTGTTCCCTGCGCGCTTTCCGTAGAGTTTCTGAGGACGGGAATGAAGATGGCGGCCTCCCCGTCTCCAGCCCGGAGGAGCCGAGAGCCCGGGGCCCCACTCCTCAGTGCGCCCTCAGAGAACAGCGCCCAATTACTCCCGTCACCCTGGCCTCCGGCCGCGCTCCGAGCTCACCGAGCCTGCGACCGGTTCAAGGTAAACCCAAGCTTAGAGCTCACTCCTCGGCTCCGTCTCTGTAGCCGGCTTCCCCGTTCTAATACCTGCAAGCTCTGCGACACTCAGACACCCCTGATCCTTCTGTGACCCTGCGGGACCTGAGCCCACGCTGACCCCGCGTGCGCTTCACCCCGGTTAAGCCTCTGGAGCGATGTCCCTCAGCGGAACAGACTTTTAAAAGTCCTGATTTTGTGCTCCGTTGCTCCGCCGCTTGCCGGGAGCCGGCCCCTCCCCCCGCGGTCTATCTTCCCGTAGCTTTGGATTCACTTCTCCGCCAGTCCTACCTTTCAGAAAGTGGTTGATTTTCTATTTCTAGAATTGCTGTTCTTCTTCTCTTCGATCTCCCGTTGGATTTGTAGGTGTTTGCAATCTTTAGATAAGCTATCTAGCTGATCTCCCGCTACCTGAAGTAGTCTCAGCTGCTACTTCTCCGCCATCTTGACTCCTCCTCCTCTTTTTGTTTTTCTACTACATCACCGTATAGGTGAGTAGAAAAATAAAAAGTAAATTAAAAAATTATGTAAATAAAAGAATGTGTGTATATGTTTATGAATTTGTATATAATCTTTTTTAAAAAGATTTTTTTTTATTGAGAGAGTGAGCATGAGTTGGGGGAGGGGCAGAGGGACAGGGAGAAGCGGACTCTGGGCTGAGCAGGGAGCCGGTGGTGAGACTGACTCCAGGACCCTGGGATCATGACCTGAGCTGAAGGCAGACGCTCACCCAACTGAGCCGCCCAAGTGCCCCTGTATATAATCTTTTCCTGTCTTTTGATTTATTTCGTTAGGATACATGGTAAGAAATGTAATTACTGGAGCAAATAAATTATAGATACATTTCGTCAGGTCTTAAGAATATAGTAACAATTTTCTATGGTTAAGTCAATGCATCTGGTTATTAGTTATGCAGAATGGTCTGTTTTTGCTACTACTTTGCCAGCACTGTTTAGAAAGATACTCTTGACCGATGTTATATGGGAGTACATTGCTACCTCCATTTGTTTTTATCTCATTATGTGTTTTGTGATCTTTTATGAATTATCTGCTCAGCAAGATCTCACTTACAGTGAGGTGCTGCAAACATGGCTGTTTTCCAGGTCTTAAGCCAGTGGTGTTCCTGCAGCACGGCCTTCTGGCAGACTCTAGTAACTGGATCACAAACCTGCCCAACAGCAGCCTGGGCTTCATTCTGGCAGACGCCGGTTTTGACGTGTGGATGGGGAACAGCAGAGGGAACACTTGGTCTCGGAAACACAAGACTCTTTCAGCTTCCCAGAGTGAATTCTGGGCTTTCAGGTACATTTGAATTGATGATGACCAGGTCTGTTTCTTTAGCACCCTTAACACAGACACATCCGGGGTGGGGGACAGATCAATGGGCAACTCAAGATTGTAGGAGAGGAGAAGCTGATGGCTCGTGGAAGGTTTTAAACCTGGTGAGAAATTTAGTAAATCACAGTCAGGTAAATTATCAGCAAATAATTGCATTTTAAGAATCAGATTCATTTATGGAGTTTTAGTTATTTTGGCATTCCAGGTCGTGTGGGACCGGCTGGATAAATCGTGTCCTAGAACCTTCTTCCTTCCTCCATCAATACGCACTGTTTTCTGTTTCCAGAAATTGTCCTCTCCTCTCTGTTGCTTCTGGCTCTGCCTGTTACTCCCCGAGTGACCTTGCACTTGTTGCACAAGCCTTCTGTGTGTCAGTATTCTTTTTTGTAAAAGGGGCGAACAAATGCCTATCTCATGAGGTCAGCGGGAGAATCAGAGGCAAGGGTGCAGGGAGACAGCCTGGCGCGTTGCACGCGGTGCTAACAGTCTGCTCGTGTGTCTCCTGATGACAAGTAGCCCCCGTGCGTTGGTCCAGGGCGGGGTCTTGGTACCTGGTATCAGAGAAGGTCAGAGCTGTGGACTCCTTTGGGCTTGTTTCCGAACCATAAAACCACAGCTTCCCTAAGGACAGGATATGCAAGAACAGGAGCTTTTCCCAAAGGCATGTGCGACGACGTGTATTGTCCCACCATTTGTAATAGTGAAGGTCCAAAACTATCAAGTCCCGTCAGCCCTGCATGGACAGAGTGCTGTGTATTTACACAACGAGTGGCCAGTGGCCACACAACAGTGTGGGTGTAGCCTACCGTTGGACCTCACTTATGGAGACGTTCGAGAATGGGTAAAACTAACTGATGCTTTTAAAGAGGAGGATGGTGGTGAGGGGTCTGCACAGTCCTGTTAATGTCTCCTGTGCTCAGTGCTGCTTTTCCCCAAGGGGTCCCTCTTTCAGGCACTTGTCCTACCGCACCCTTCCTGTTTGCGTACAGTTGTGTTTGTGTGCGACGTCTTAATGAAAGCCTTCCTTTTGTGGATTCCAGTTATGATGAAATGGCAAATTATGACCTACCAGCTTCAATTAACTTCATTCTGAATAAAACTGGCCAAGAACAAGTGTATTATGTGGGTCACTCTCAAGGCACCACGATAGGTACGTATGTGATAAAGACTAGAGCTCGACCAAATGTGTCAGTACAGAGTCTGCATCTGTTCTTAGAAGTGGAATGTAAAAAAATAATGTTAGTTCGCATAGAGGTGTTTGTTGTTTGTTTTGATGCTGAGCAGAAATACTGAATAGGGAAGGGCAGGGAATTTGGGGTAATATTTCACCTTCTCTGGAAATTCAGACTTTTGTATCAATGGCTGGATGAGGTGTATGGTTCTCTTGACACAGAAGGAATTGATGGGAGCCACAACCTAGTACGAATTTTTCTGGTTTATCTGTGGGGATGTGAGAGGCCAGAAAACAAGGGGGTTCTAAGTGCAGAGACTTTTAAACCGAAAATAAGAAAATACACTGACTCTCAAGGGGTATCAGACTAACCGCAAACATGCCATGTTATGCTTCATTTCTAAAGAGTTGTTAAAAGTCGTATGCATTTTTTACTTATATTGATTATAAAAGGAAAGTGTGTTCGTTGTATACAAAAATAAAAAATTTGGGGGCGCCCGGGTGGCTCAGTCAGCCAGGCGTCCAGCTCAGCTCAGGTCTTGATCTCAGGGTCGTGAGTTCAAGCCCCGTGTTGGGCTCCATGCTCGGTGTGGCGCCTACTTAAAAAATTTTTTCAGCAAAGTTTAAAGAAAATAAAAATTACCTGTAATTCTAGCAAATAATAGTTCCACTGATTAGGCCTAGGGACCTGTCCCATAATTTATTTAGTTCCTTCTTTTAGTATGTGCTAAGATTAGTATCTGTGTTTCTATCACACAACCTCCATACATTCCTAAAAGCACAGTCAGTCAGTGAAAGGTAGGCGTGCTCCTAAGAGTCCTAATGTGTTTGGTTCAATGTCTGCAGCCCCACTGCCTCGGAACACTTAGCCGGTTTGAGAGGCTACAGACAGAAGGCAACACCCATGGGTGTATCTCCCTTATGAGTGGAGTTAAGCAATTTTCTTCATTTGTAATCCTTGTCCCATGACTTGCCTACTTGTGGCCTTTGCCCCATTGTGTTCTACAGGGACACTCTGGGGCCAAGTTCAAGGCAAGGAGTGACCCAAGAGGAGGCTAAAAAATATTTTAGCGCTACAGCATTCTCAGTGTGTAAGTCCCTTTTGAGTCACTGGCGACTGATCTGAACGCCTCTGACGTTGTTCCTGGGGATGGGGGGAAGGGTGGTGGGGCTGGGTGGGCAGCCCCCTTAGGGAGAGCCTTTCCTTCGCTCAGCTAACATGACTAAGGGAACAGGGACAGCTTCTGGCTCTTTTCCAGTGCACATGTAGGTTGAAGATTGAATTGAGCACTTAACAAGTACTTGATTTACTAGTTTAATCACACTCAGTGCACACAAAGTTCAGAGGCCCCGGTGCGAGTGTTCGGTCTCCTGGTGGTGGGGGCGTTGCTTGCATGGTCCTTAGGCTGCCACTAGAGGGCATAACGCACGGCCGCTTTTCCTGAGAAAGTCCTACAGGATGGAATTCCTATTATCTTCCTTTTGTTCCCACAGGTTTTATAGCATTTTCACAGATTCCCGAGCTGGCCAAGAAGGTTAAAATATTTTTTGCCCTGGCTCCTGTGGCTTCAGTCGAGTTCTCTAAGAGCCCACTAACTAAATTAGGAGAATTGCCAGAATTTCTCTTCAAGGTACTTGGACTTCCCCCATCCCTCTCTTGCCCCACAAACTTCCTTTTCAGATCTGAAGAATTGGCCTCTAGTGGGTTCTTCCTACTCTCTGGTTCACTATTGGTGGAACGGTGGGGCTGCTTTTCCCCAGGGTGTATTTTCCCCCTTCACCCCTACTTCCAGGTCCTGGGGAGTCAGGGAAGGTGTATCACTAATTCTACAAGTCGGCACTCTTCACCCACCACGCAAAGGGAGCACAAGGAAGTCCGGGAGAAGTAGCTTAAACTCCTGGAGTTGCCCTTTCTCGCACACAGTGAGCCTGCGGCTGGGAGCAGGCAGGAGATGGGGGGAGGGAGGGCGTGCTGTTCCCACGTGCCTGACCCTGGCCACAATGAGGGCTATCGGAAGACGCTGTTCCTATTATATTTCATAACGTGGCCCCTAACACAAGCCGGTAACCTCGTTGAGACTCAGCCCTAGAACGGTGTAACCTCCCAAGCTCTGTTCAAGGAGGAAGCAGTTTTCAGGAGGACGAGTTGAGAACCAGCTGAGGCCAGATGGTCCGTCATGCACTCCCTATCTGTGTTTGATGTATGGTACATTGATATGCACTCATGAAATCTCATACAGGAGCATAAACATATCGGCCATTTAAGACATGTTCACAGGGAATACAGACCATCCTGTGACCTTAGTATCTGACCCTCCCATAAGGTGGATTCTCCACACTGGGGACCAGACACACAGATGAGATGTGGCCCTCTCTGACCGAACTTACCTTTAATGCCTCAGGTCATAGAAGCTTCAGCTTTCATTATAAACCATTCAGAGATTGCAAGTAACGTCCCCTTCCATTACCAGGGTCGCTCTCACTCGTTCCTCAGAGCTGAACACAGTGCTCAGGGTGGGTCTTTTCCTACAGACCTTGCGTGTGAATTTAAACATGTTCTGCAGATGACATTTTTCAGGGTGGGAGAGCTATCATGTTACTGCATAAAACACCGTCACATTCTAGAAGGCCGTGTCGTGAGTTCTCCATTAATCTGGGACTACCACTTCCCTAGGTCGTTGCTCCTTTGCCCTTGCCATGTCCCTGTGCCCTTCCTCCCGAAGACCTGCATGGCTGTGTCATAGGAGGGTTTCTGATGTAATTTAATCCTTGGAGATTGTGCTCTAGTAGCTGTGTAGTTACAGACCCCCTCGCCAACTCCCCACCTTGGAGATGGTAGCTCACTGAATCTGGAGATGGGCCCAGCATCTGCGTTTTCACAAAGCACCCCACTGGATCCTAGGGTCAACAAAACAGACTGGTTTTTGGGAGTCACTGTCTCCGATGGTGGTGTTTTCTAATATTCTAGGACAGTGACAGAGGGAAAAAGTAAATGCTTCTAAAACCTTCGTATTAGCTGCTCTGGGAGATCCACATGGCCTCCACAAAAGCTTAGCGCCCTCACTCTTGGAACACAAAGATTATAAATTAGAAAGGCATCAAGATTGATCTGAGCGGGCTTGTACGTACGTAAGGTGAATTTTACTTTTCCTGCATGTACTGTCCTGCTCGCATGGAATTCCCAGGAGAGGGTGTCATAGCGGCCTTTGGGTCGCTGTTGGGAAGCTCAAGGTCAACTTCACGTCCGTCGTCAGTCAGGAGGAAAGGGTGGCTTATTGCCCTATAAGTCGATGATGCAGTGTCCTCTTGTTTTTAGGAGAGAACCTCACAAATGTCTGCATTTATCACATGCGACCGTTACCTAGACTTAAAGCCAGGAGTTTTAAATACTGATGCCGTTTCCCACAGTATGACCCTCTCTGCACTCGTTGTTCCTCAGTTCTGCCCAGCTACCCATCCTGTGACTAGTTAGGAGAAGACATTCAGGAGACCCAGTGTCTGTCTTCAGGTACTGGTTGACTGTCTTGTAATCGATAGACTTGACAGAGGACAGGCTGTGTGTATGTGGACGGAATTTTCCTGAAGAAGCGCTGAATATGGCCCACACAGTGTTACAACTTCAAATTAGTCACACCCTTTATAAAGCAAATCTGGTGCTGAAAACTTGATATTTATTTTGGGCGGGGTGGTGGGAGAAAGGACGCTGTGTACCACAAAGCAGCTGTGCCCTTAGGCTGGGCATATGAGTTACAGTTCCCGTGGTTCTCAGCAGCTTCCGAAACCTCACTCTGGGCAGGAGGCCTGTTTTACACATTCACAGTTTCCTGCCTGCCCGCATCAGTCTGCTGGGGCTACGAGGGGGCGTCTGCCCCGCACCTCGTCCCTGGCTTCTGGTGCCCAGCTTGGCATTCCTTGGCTTATGAGAGCATCACTCCCATTTCTGTCTTCATCTCCACATGTGTGCGTACCCCTGTGTGTTTCTGTCTCTGCCCAGATTTCTCCTTTCTTAAAGGACCCGCGCCCTACTGGGTGGGGCCGACCCTGATCACCGCGTCTTCCCGTGATGACCCCTGTAAAGACCCTGTCTCCAAATAAGGTCCCATGATGAGATACTGGGAATTAGGATCTCAATGGATCTTTTTTTCCTGGGGTGGGGGGCACACTGCCTTGGGAGGCATTTTAATTTTTCACTCCTGTTTGTCCCTCCACAGGGTGGGCATCAGCAGAAGTGTGACTTATAGGGGGACACGTTTGGGTTCAATATACGGAAAATCTTTTTTCTGTTTCCCATTGCACCAGTGTGTGAAGATCTTCGCAGGCATAGTGATTGCCTCAAAATACTGGAACACATTGGTCACGGCTTCACCTGCCCCAGGAGTGGGCAGACTTCTTCTCTTAAAGGCCCGTAGAGTAAATACTCTTGGCTTTGTGGATCGTACAGTCTCTGTTGGAAGTACCGAACTCTGCCACTGTTGTGTGAAAAGAGCCAGAGACAAAGCAGAGGAAAAGGAGTGTGTCTGTGTCAATAAAACTTTATTTATAAGACTAGGCAGTGCTGGTGGGGGAGGAATGAGGAGTTCTTGTTTAATGGGAACGGAGTCTCAGCTTGAGGTGTTGGAAGAGCTCTGGAGATGGGTAGTGATGCTGGTTGCACAGGAATTTGAGTGTCCTAACGCCCCTGAACAGAACACTTAAAAAGGGTCAAAAGGGTAAATTTTGTGTTACGCACACACTAGCTCAAGAAAAAAAGTGTCAGAAGAAAAAGACAACAGCAGGTGGCAGGAATTGGCTCACCAGCCAGTAGAATCGGTCCGGCTGCATCTGCCCCATGCAGACACGTGGTGAAGCAGCCTTGGCTTCGACTCGTTCTTGGAAATCACAACCCACCCCGCAGTCTGTGACACTCTTCGGGGATGGCCCTGGGCTGAGTGGTCATTAATGCCCCTTCCCACGCTGAAAAGTCTGCTGTGGACTGATGTGACTTTCTGCCTCTTCTCTTCATGGGAGGCTTTCGACCACCACTCTAACATCGGCTTTGGCCTGCGTGTCCTAGTGCGACAGTCTGCCTCCCGTTGCCATTTCTTTTCTGGGGTCACATGCAGAGATGCTTGGCGTGTGTCTCTGCTTCAGGGGTGGGTCAGGGAAGCCTTCTGACAGAATGAAGTGCTGAGATACTCTTGGGTTCCCTTTTATGTTTTAGGACTTGTTTGGGGTCAAAGAATTTCTTCCCCAGAATACGCTTTTGAAGTGGCTGGGCACACATATTTGCAACCATGTCATTCTGAGGGAGCTCTGTGGAAATGCCTTTTTTGTTATCTGTGGATTTAACGAGAAGAACTTAAACATGGTATGTTTAGACCTGCTCTCCTTTTCAGTGCGTTTGTTTTGTCTGTGGAGCTGCTTGTTTGTGCTGGGCGGTGTGAGAGAAGCAGGGACGACCTCCTCAGAGAGCTCACGGGTCTCTCATTGGGGAGGCACAGACGGATCTCCAGCAGGTGCCCGGGGGGCTGTCTGCTGCTCTCCTCAGGCCTGCCGTTAGCAACTTCCTGCTGAACGAGGAGACTTGTCATAATTTAAGTCCTGGTATTTGTATTCATTCTAGTGATCTCTTTCTTTTAAGAGATGACTATGAGTGTATTTAAATGTGTGTGTGTATGTGTGTATGTGTGTATACTTTTATTTACCTTTTTTATAAAATGTAGACCCTCGGCCAGCAGTATGCCAGTGTTTCTAATGCTTCCCCCACCCCCCAAATCTTATTTGAGAGAGAGAGCGAGCATGAGCAAGGGCAGGGGGGGACCGAAGGAGAGGGAGAAGCAGGCTCCCCGCTAAGCAGAGAGCCCAGCTCGGGCTGGATCCCAGGACCCTGAGATCATGACCTGAGTGGAAGGCAGAGGCTTAACCTACTGAGCCACCCAGGCATCCCTTTGCTGGAATCTCTAAATATATTTGTTGTTTGTCTGTTACATTTTGAAAGCAGGCTTTAAAATTCTAGAATGAAGGCTCTAGGGAGTTTTTTACAGTAGTATTAATTTTTCTGATTGTTACACGAAATGTTGGAAATTCAGAAAAGTTTGAAGAACAAAGTCAGAATGACCCATCAGCTCAGCCCTACAGTCAGTTACCCCGTTGCTCTGCGTCCTTCACCCGTGTTCTGTGCGTGTGTGGCTGTATGGGTTTTTATAGGGTGTATGTGTCATCAGAGAACTAGAACTCTTTCGCCTGCTTGTAGTCTCCTTTATTTGAGATTGTGGCTCTGAAGTGCAAAACAGGTTTAGTGTCAATGCCTCCTTAATGCTGTGTCCATTCTTTATTTCACCATGTTTCTTTTGCAGTCCAGAGTGCCCGTGTATGTAGCACACTCTCCTGCCGGAACCTCTGTGCAAAACATGCTACACTGGGACCAGGTAGGCGTACTTCTCTGCCAGCCCCTCCCAAGCCCTTCCTGTCCTGCACAAAGCCAGGCTGCTTACACACGGGAGCTGGTTTCCTTCCCCAGAGTCCTGGGTTCCTCCCATTGCGCCCTTGCACTCTGGGCGAGTTCAGCCAGCTTTGGGAGGGAGGCTGCGATGTCGTCACTAAGCCATGAACACGACAGGACTGAACCCATCGGGACACACCAGAGCCAAACCAGCCGTGGGAGTAAATGGGATCCACTCACTTGTAAAATGAAGTTTTGATTGTTTTCATCACATCGCCACAAAAGCAATGCCTGCTCATTCATTCTAGAAAATTTAGAAATTATGTATAGGAAAAAGATAATAATTCTCTCATTATGAAAAACAAGACTCGGCAACCAGACACAGAGATAGAAAATGTGTACCCAGAGCTGTGAAGTGTCTCTGCATCCCACTGTCTGCCTCTTGCCGCAGATCATTTCAGAAAGAGCTCCTTGAACACGCAGCTAGAAAGAACTGTTGTAGAAATAGATTAAGTAAATTATTTTCTTCTGCTTATTCTAACTTGCTTTCCCCCACCTAACAGTGTATCAGGGACTTATTTCTACCTCAGGACGTATTTTTACAGGAATTTCCTTCCTACCTTTTTTTTTTTAAGGTTCCATTTATTTGAGAGAGGGAGTGAGAGACAGCGAGAGAGAGCACAAGCAGGGGGAGTGGTAGAGGGAGAAGCAGGCTCCCCGCTGAGCAGGGAGCTTGATGTGGGGCTCAATCCCAGGACCCTGGGATCATGACCTGAGCTGAAGGCAGAGGCTTAACCAATTGAGCCACCCTGGCGCCCCACCTTGACTTGTTTTTAAACATGAAATAACTCACCATTTAAGCTCCAAACCAAGATGCTGTGGAGAGCGGTTGCCAAATGAGGGACAGTCACTGTCTGCATCTGAATCACGAGTTCCGTGTAAAATGACACCTTTTAAAAAATATTGTTTCAAAAAAGTAAGGGGAGTTGGGCTCACATTAGAGCTGTTGGGTTGGCTGGATATGTGGATATGTGGAAACTATGATGGGGATGATAAATATATTAATTCACAGATTAACATAAGTATAATATGGTGTTTTTGTTAGTCCATATACACATATTAATATATAATCAATCTTTTTCATACTGACATCAATATATTCATATAAATACATACTAATCCATATGTCTTTTTTCAGCCACAGAGTTTATGAATTTTAATACTCTTTGTACGACAGTATAAAAATATGTATATTTTAAAATCTAAATCCAATCAGCTAACATATAGAATGTTACTAGTTTCAGAGGTAGAGCTTAGCGATTCTTCAGTTGTGTTCGACTCCCAGTGCTCCTGCCATCACATGCCCTCCTACATCTAAGTCTTAGTCCGTACATCGTATGTAGTATGTATTTCTTTCCCAAATAAGATAGTTAACTCTTTGAAAAAGCTTAAGATTTAGATTTCAGTAAAAGTCAGCATGAAGTTTAACAAGTACAGCCATGTGTGTAGCTTCTTTATCGTGTCATGTGGTAGCTACATTCCAGTTGAAATAAAATTAGTATTTATTTTATTGCAGTCTTGTTGACACACTGTGTTACACTGGTTTCAGGTGTACAACACAGTGATTTCACGTGTCTTCACATTACGCGGTGGTTCCCGCAAGTATGCCTACCCTCTGTCACCCGACATCACTATCACAATTGCAGTGCCATATAAAAAATGTATTTATTGATTTGAAGATTTTATTTTTCACTTATTTAGAGAGAGAGAGAGAGAGTGGGGAGAGGGGGAGAAGGAGAGAGGGAATTTCAAGCAGGCTCCCCACTGAGTGTGGAGCGCAACGCGGGGCTCGATCTCAGGACCCTGCGATCATGACCCGAGCCGACGTCAAGCGTTGGATGCTTGACAGACTGAGCCGCCCAGGTGCTCCCCACCCCCTGATGCCATTTTATTTTAAGTTACACTTTGGAAATAGTAAGTCTGGGTACACTGTAAAATGAGCTCCTGAGGATACAGCTAACTAAGTAGCCCCCTGTGAGGCTCTTTCAAACTTCTGTATCAGATAACTTGTTCTCCCAAATTTTCTTCTTTGTAGTTTATTAAATCCCGGAAGTTCCAAGCCTTTGACTGGGGTAGCAGTGCCAGGAATTATTTCCATTACAACCAGGTAAAGGCTTTGAAAGTCTTTAGAATGCAACTGGGCTCTGAAAATCCACCAAGGAAGCCAGCTTGAGCCATAGGGCTGCTGGGGGGCTTGGGTGCTGCGGTAAATGCTGGGGAGGGTCAAACAGATGGTGTTGGTTTCCCTCTGTCTTCCAGAATAACCCAAGCTTTGTGGTTGGTGTTGAGCCCTGGGCCTTCCCTCTTGGTCCATTTCCTTGATTCTGTAACAACTGCCACAGTCATACATCCTTCATCGTGACTGGGAACACAGACCTGAGTCAGACTAGCCTCGGTCTGCTCTCCAGCAGCTGGGGGGCCTGGGCCAGACTCCATCACCTTCAGCTTTGCCTTCCACGTACAAAGAAATGGACCATATTCTGAGTGCTGGGTGCTCTCAAGTGTGAAGCACTCTCCCCCTACTTTTGTTTCATCTCGTGACACCCATGTGACAGATGCAATGCTTATTGTCATTCTTACTGTTTCGGTTCTGGTTAACGGTAACTTGAAAAGTAAACTGAGAACAGTTTTCTAAACTTGGGTCTTCCACTGTCACATTTAGGAATCAGTATCTAACGAGGGATTATTTGGCTGTGTTTCTGTAAATCAAAACACGAATGAAGCCGTCTTTTGGTTTTATTACAGACTTATCCCCCGCCTTACAGCGTGAAGGACATGCCGGTGCCCACGGCCGTCTGGAGCGGGGGCCAGGACTCACTGGCGGACGTCAAGGACATCAGCGTCTTACTGTTGCAGATCACCAACTTGGTATACAACAAGTTCATCCCGGAATGGGAGCACCTGGACTTTATCTGGGGCTTGGATGCCCCTTGGCGGCTCTATAATGACATAGTGGATCTGATAAGGAAATACCCGTGAGAGGCCACGGGAGGGGACCATGCATTACAGTGTGCGCGCTTCCCTTCTCTGAAAGGGCTGTCTGTCTTTCCCAGGCTGTTCGCATTTTTGTCTCTGATCAAACTATGATTGACGTTTTTCAAGTGCATCCAGGATTAGAAATGCACATTTTTGGTTTAATCATGGCCTCATTGAGGGCAGCCTCTTGAAGGCTGTTTAAAAATACCACTGACTTGTAAAAGGTCCTAACCATTCTGGGCATCCTTAGAATTTAACATGCACAACATTGCCTTCTTACCATCACACAGGCCGTGCCGGGCAGGTGTCGGAGTTTCCAGGCTCTGTGGTCCATTGGTAAATGACCTGACACTGATTTGAAAAAGCTCCCCGCGCACTCAGTTTTTACCTCTTTGCCTTAAAGGGCTCTGCAGTCCACTGGCCTTGTGGTCACTAGGGAGCTAAGTAACAAGTTCTCATGCTTTCATGCGCTAGGCACGGAGTCTAACCCTGTGACACCCCAGCTGGGCCAGTTGGAAAGATTCTAGAATGAATTTTATGAAACCTAACCATGATAAGTCATTATTTAGCAAGTGTTTAAATTGTTCAGACAAAGCCAAAAAATTTGCTGGAATCTTCAGAAAATAAATGACATTCATTTAGAAAAACCCCAAACCCCATATTTTAAATAGCTCAAAGACCGATGCAGACAACCATCTATATTCATGAACTTGTAATTGGGTGGTGGGCTGTCAGTCCATGTGGGTGAGAACACAAGTCATGTGGGGAGACGGTACCCCTCTTTTCTGCAAAATCAGTGCATTCTCTTAGCTGCTGTAGCTCACTGCTGCCTTAGCTCGGTGCTCCTGTCGGGGAAGCAGAAGCCCAGGGACAGTCTGGGAGGAGTGTCCTAACCATTTTCACATGGAAGAAATGTGAGCGTGAATGTTTTCAGACGAATGCTCAGGGATTCTTTCCGTTTTTTGGTTTTGTACGTGTCCATATTTTCAATACTGTTGATTCGCGTCCGAGTTCAGGAAACCCTTATTCATGAACCTGCTTTTCTTGATGCACGATTTCTTTGCAGTGCTGACGGATGGACAGAATGACAATTGATGTGTTTCTGACAGAGCTCTTTTAGCTGCAGTAATAAATGATACTTGGGACTGGCTAATGTATGCAGACAGTGTGATACTACTTTGTAACATTTAAAAAGTCTTATTTGAATAACTTTTCAATAAAATGCAGTAGCCTCCTAAACCTGAAGGACCATGTGTATGTTGTGTTCTCCTTTATTGCCCGTGACCCTTTGATCCCCTCCCATAGTGAGGAGAGAGAGGTCGCAAACTAAAGGGTTTGGGGGATCAGTTGGAAACACTGGTCCTTGGAGCTCGTGATGCTGCGTGGAAAGAAAGCAGAGACTGACCCATCTGCAGGTGGGACCATGGATTCAGGGACTATCCCTCTAACTCCCTCTTTGAAGAAGGCAGAGACAAGTCATTTATGCCATAGGGTCCCCAAAGCATAGATCTGGTGGGCAGTGGGGCGTGTCCAATGAGATCTCTCCCACTACTCTCTGAGCTTGAGGGTAGAAGATACACCTTCCTCCTTTCTGTATGCCCCAAATTGAACACAAAGCCTGGAATGTAGTGAGTCAGTCAATACATGCGGACCCACAAGCTGTGTGAACAGTGAGAGACCTTCCCACTTAGCCGAATGCAGTGAGATGCACACGGAACATCTGGGAGGGCCCAAGGACTGAAGCGGAGTCTCTTTTCTCACGGCTCCCTCAGACAAGGGTCTGAGTGTGCTGGACGCAAAGGATGGGTATCCATGCCGGGAGGTTGCCACCCTCCTCACGGGCTTTAGGTCCCCCCACTGTACCCTGAAGCCGCCTTTCTTCTTTGACCAAAGCACACTGGGTTGGCCAACCAGGTACAAGATTCTTGGGTAGGGGAGGACAGAAAGGGACAGTGAGTAGGTGTCTTCTGGAACTAGGGGAGAGAGCAGCCCCACCAAGAATGCCTTCAGTGCTGTAAGTGACCTGCTATCTCTAGCTTGGGCTGATGCCACAGCAGCACCCCCAGACTCCCCTGAGAATGAGTCAGTCAATCTTTCACACACAAGGTGACACGGATGAGCAGGGGGAGGGGGTCCATTCTACAGAGTCCACCTCTTACTGGCATGTGTCTCTCTTCCCTCCTTTCTGGACTTTTCTCTGGGGAGTTTTCTTCAGTGTGAGGCCAGTCTAGAGATGAAGATGTTATGTAACTCTTCCTGGTACAGTCCTGTTCCCTTGCACATTTGCCTTTGTTGGTGGCCTCTTGTTCCTGAGATTGCAGCGTAGGTCCTTTAAATCCTTGTAAACCTAGGCTGTGTTAATGTTTCATCATTGTTGTATTTCATTGTTTTTTTAAAGATTTTATTTATTAGAAAGAGCACGCGTGCGAGAGAGAACACGAGCCGGGGTAGGAGGAAGGGCAGAGGGGGAGAGCAAGCCGACTCCCGCTGAGCGGGGAGCCCAATGCAGGGCTCTATCCCAGGACCCCAGTATCATGACCCGAGCCGGAGGCAGATGCTTAACCCACTGAGCCACCCAGGCACCTCTGTTTTATTGTTTAACAAAACAATCTTGTTTTGTCTTTGCCTTAAGGAGCTTGTGCCTTTCATTAGAAGTCGGGTTGCGAGTTGGTAGGACTTCTGATTCTTCAGCTTGGTTTGATATATATTCCTTTGAGCATCCCACGAAGATGTCCACAGATCCCTAGGACAAGAAGACTAATTAATACACTGCCAACTTGGCGCTCTAAGACCTCGCAGTCCCTGGGTTGGGGGGCGGGGCACAAAGCTTCCAAGTGAGGTTAGTTGAGAACAAAGTCATTTCTCCCATTTGCCACCAGAGGGCACGCTTGGCTTTGCCTCCAAAGCTTTTCTTTCTCTAAGGAGGCTTTCTCTGGTCTCTTCTGGGAAAGAGAGAAATTTTGTTGATTCTGGAGTGCTGGATGGTAATTTGAGGACCGGTGAGAACAACCACGTTTCTGGTCATTTCTATCCAGGATTATGACCAATTTTGGCCTAATTCATAATATCTAAAGAATGTCCTCAAAGAATAGCTGTATCCCAGCTGTGACGTGAAGATAAAAATTTGCCTAATGGGTAAAAGGGTGGTCGGAACCTCAGCATGGAAGGGGCTGCAGAGGAGGCTTTAACTGAGGCCTCAGGCTTATGAAGGACCAAAACTGAGACTAGTGATACGATCTCCAAATGATGAAAATTATTTTATGTTTGTGTTAAAGTTGTTGCTGTGTTATTAAATGTAAACTTTCAAAATATACTGTAGTTGTTTTTTTTTTTAACATTTTATTTATTTATTTGACAGAGAAATCACAAGTAGGCAGAGAGGCAGGCAGAAAGAGATGGGGGAAAGCCGGCTCCCTGCTGAGTAGAGGCCTGATCTGGTGCTCGATCGATCCCAGGACCCTGAGACCATGACCCGAGCCGAAGGCAATGGCTTAACCCACTGAGCCACTCAGGCGCCCCGAAATACTGTAGTTTTAACTTTTGTCATTTAGTTTTTAATATAGGAAGATATTTTCAAAATGTGCCCCCCTGAAAGGCAGCATTAGATGACAATAATTCTGATTTTTACTTATTTTTATTAACTTATTTTTTAAAGATTTTATTTGTTTATTTGAGAGAGAACAAGGGCAAGCACAGCTGGGGACGGGACAGAAGGAAAGGGAGATACAGACCTCCCCACTGATCAGGAAGCCCAACACAGGGCTTTTGTATCTTTTTCCAGATTTTAATTATCCATTTGACAGAGAGACAGGGAGAGAGGGAGTAGAAGCAGGGGGAGTGGGGGAGGGAGAAGCGGGCTTCCCGCTGAGCAGGGACCTTCACCCCCAATGCGGGGCTCAATCCTGGGATCACGAAGAGGGCCAAAGAGAGCCGAAGGCAGACACTTAACGACTTAGCCACCCAGGTGCCCCTCTGATTTTTAAACAGCTTGTCAGTAATTCATTCAAGAGTATTTATGATATCACATAGTGCTAGGTGCAGATTTTAAGTTCAATTCTAAACTAAGCAAGTAAAACTTTCTGCCCACTTGTTTTAGTGGTACTAAAATATACTGTGCATTTTGCACTGTATACTGTGCCTAAAATATACTGTGCCTTCCGACTTTTAAAACCTTCTTACAAGGCCTGCGTTTTGCAGCAACTCCTTCAGTGAGGTGCAGTATTTTCTCTTTACAGGCACTTGGGTGCCTTTTAGTGGAGATGATTTTTACCTGCTTTAATGAAAGAGAGCGTCGAGGAGTCTCCTGGGGGAGCTAACATCTCCCACGTTCTTCATCAGCATCTTCTGTTTTGGTGTGGATAAGTCGTGTCTTCTGACTTTTTTGGAAACTTCCCTCTAAGTGAAACTTCAGTCCCTCACGCCAGCACCAAAGTCCTCTACAGGTGTCTACCTTGAAACTGACAAAAGCTTCTGCTTTCACCTTGGCTGTAACTTTCTATTCAACCCAGTTAGTCCTGACTTTTCTGACAAGAAGCCTTCATTTTTACAAAAAGAGGTTAAATATTTTTAGACATTTTATTTATTTATCTGACAGAGAGAGAGAGTACAAGCAGGGGGAGCAGCAGGCAGAGAGAGAGAGAGGAGCAGACTCCCCACTGAGCAGGAAGCCGATCCCAGGACCCTGGGGTCATGACCTGAGCAGAAGGCAGACGCCCAACCTACTGAACCACCCAGGCGCTCAAGGGATTATGTTTTTTTTTTTTTTTTAAGATTTTATTTATTTGACAGAGATCACAAGTAGGCAGAGAGGCAGGCAGAGAGAGAGGAGGAAGCAGGCTCCCCGCTGAGGAGAGAGCCCAATGCGGGGCTCGATCCCAGGACCCTGAGATCATGACCTGAGCCGAAGGCAGCGGCCCAACCCACTGAGCCACCCAGGCGCCCTCAAGGGATTACGTTTTAATCTTTGGAATTACTCTATCCTCTACCAGTCTTACGTGTTACCAGCCAAGGCATCATAACACTTCTCATGTCTGATATCTGGCAGTATCTGTTTCGGTTAGATAGATCCAAGAACATTTTGCCTAATTTGGGAAAGAAAAAAACCATCAAGTTCACATCGGGAAAGAGAGGAGTCCCTGGTAATGCAAGTACATGCTCAGTTGTTGGGTGCGGGGGTAGTATCCAGAGTCCTCGGTGCGGAGTCCCGAGTCACTGCAAGATGGTGTTAAAAATGCGGACTCGATGGCTACGCTCATGAAAACGGTCTGGGGTAGCTGGAGAAGACAAGAATCCTGTCCTCCAGCCCTGTCAGGAAGCATGCAAGGTAAAAAGGATACAGAGGAAGTCAAAGTCAACTGGAGAAGCACAAGAAATAGTCCTAGCACCACCAGAGCTCAGGAAATACCCCCGTCTGTGGAAAACCATCCCCGTGGGTAAGTAGCTAAACCAGCCAGGGCTCTGGGGGGGTGGGGATTCTACTTTGTTAGCTTCGGTTTAGAGCTGGTATCTTCAGAAACAAGCATCGTGTCCACAGATACCTTAGACGCCCCCCCCCTTTTTTTTTTTTTTAGATTTTATTTACTTATTTGACAGTGGGACACACAGAGAGGGAGCACAAGCAGGGAGAGTGGGAGAGGGAGAAGTTGGCTTCCCATCGAGCAGGGAGTCCTATGCGGGGCTCCATCCCAGGACCCCTGGGATCATGATCTGAGCCAAAGGCAGACGCTTAACACACTGCGCCACCCAGGCGCCGCCACAGATGTCTTTTGAACACTCACTACATGCAAGGTATGATGGTTGGCACTGTGGGGAAAAAGTCCTAAAAGATAGTACCTGTGCCCTAAAAAGAACTCTTCGTCTTGCAAGCTGTTAAACGTATGTTGTGCACGTGAAGTGCTTAAAGGTGCACCTTTGCCAGTTCAGGAAATGATACCACTTTACTCAAGACTAAACAGGGTTCAGTCTCATTCAGGTCCACCAAGTGATGCTGTCTTTGTTCCACATGACATTGTGCTTCCTTTTTCGGCTTCTTCCCTGTGACATGGAGCAGACAAGATTTTAACTAATTTCCCCGAGATGGTTGCATTCATATATGGGATACAGACTTCTGTCCCCCGGGGCAGCTGATGGTCGGGCAAGGCAGGGAAGCCAGTAGCTGTTCTGCAGAGTGCTGTGAGCAGGAGGAGAGAGCCTGGGCCGAGCAGGGGACAGCAGAGGCTTCTGGATCTGGCTGCACTGGGCTTTGTGCCACCGGCCCACGGAGAGGACTTTAACAGGCTTCGTGATTGAGGATGCAAGAACTAAAGAAGGCAAAGAATGGGTTGGTTGGGGCTGGGGGCTTGAAGGGGGCGGTCCTGACAGCAACCTCAGAGCCAAGTCCAAGTGCAGCAAGTCTGCCCGTGCCACCCACTTCAGAAATCCACACGAGCATCCCAAGCACCCAAGCATGTAGCCGAGACCACAAGGAGAGGACAGCGTGTGCTGAATGGAAATTTGAAGGTTGACTTCATTTCTTTTGAGGGCAAATCTGAGTGATAACTTTACCTCTGAGCAGAGTTCATTTTTAAGTCTGAGAACGTGAGCTCTGATGGTCCCTTTGGAGCACTGAGGAGTCCAAGAGCAAAGGAGACCAAGCCCCTCCTCTTCTCTCCAAGCCAGGCAAAGTTCAAGGGCAAGCCTTGTGTACAAGGAATGGGAAAGGAGGCAGTTCCTGGGTTGACCTAAAGATGAATTGGGAAGAGTCTTGGGGGAGGGCAAGGCTGAAGAAGAGCCTAGAACCCACAGGGTGTCTGTGTGCTAGAAACTCACCGCAAGGGAGGCTAGGGGCCTGCATCGTACCCAGGTCCATTACCATCTAGATGTCCAAGCAACTAGAAAATCCACTCTTTCCCTGTCCTCATTGCCTGTCAAGAAATTCAGCTGTTTCTGCACCTCTGTCTCATCAGTACACAAGCAGAATATCATAATATCCTTAGCACACTGATGGGTTAAAGAAAAACTCCAGGAGAGCTAGAAGCTGGAGGCCCCAGAGGATGGGCATGTAGGGAGCATGTGTATCATGTAGGGAGCATGTGTATCCTATCAGCGGTGGGTCAGGGACAAACGGCCCCCTGGGGGTTCTGAATTATGAACTGCCTTGTTATAGGGCGTGGGTATAACATCCCATTCGTTATTAGATATTACTGTATCATTACGTGTTATGAACTGGCTTCTGATATACATGCATATATGTGCATATCCTATATATTGTTATATTTCTAGGTCCATATGCTGGTCTCTATTTCTGTCATATTTCTTCTTTCCTCCTAGTATGTGGTGTTCCATCTTTTATTTCTCTTTACACGATTTCACTGGATTTTAATTGTAAACTTCCTCGGTTCTTTAGGTAAAATGTGGAGCACAAAGTTAAAATAATATGCGTCTTCCTTTGCAAGTTGGTGGTGTGCGGAGCACCGGGCTTCTGTTTCTGTGAGGCCACAGGGCTAACAGCTTGGGGTTCCCAACCCTGGAGGAAATCACCTCAAGTGAAACGCTTAGCTCATGCCTGGCAGACTTTGTTGTTATGTTCCCATTTTAATGCTTGAAATAACCTCCCGCGGTGGCTACTCTTCTTTTCCTTTGGCGGGGTAAGGGGTGGGGAGGGGTGGCAGTTGGGCGAAAACATGCAAAGGCTCGGGGAGTGAGTGAACCCCAACCTCACGGACACACGACGCAAAGCTAGAATTAGTTCTGCGTGGTCCCGCCTTCCAAGTGCTAGTCCCCAACTTTTATCTTCTAGGGGACTCTTGCGTTGTGTATCAGCCACCCGGATCAAAGGCGGAGGTGGTTTTCTACGCGGTCCCGGGTGGCCCCAGAGCTCGCGCAGTACCGACCTTATCCGGCCCGGTGCCCCCGGAGAGCCGCCGAGGTGGGGCCGGCCGCGCAGTGCCACTCCGGGCGCCAGGGGCTGTCGGGGGTTTGCAGGTTGAGACCAGCTGCAGCCAGGCCCAGCGAAGCCGGCGGAGAGGAGCGCAGCGCAGCGCAGGCGCGCCCTCCTCCGCTCTTGGCCCAGCGTCCCGCCACGCTGCAGGCGCGCACTGGGGCGCCGCCGAAGAACAAAGCGGATGGTTTACTGCTTTCATCGCCTCCATTCCAAATGAGGACGCCGCGGCTTTGTAGCCAGATCTGGGCAAGCTCTAGATGGTAAAACCCAGAACTTTTTTTTTTTTTTTTTAATTGAAGCCTCCCAGCCGCGGTCCCAGCTCTGTCGCCGTGCCTCCTCGTCGGGGTCGCTGCTCTGGGCCCCGAAGGCGCAGCGGACAAAGAAGCGAGCGGCCGCCCCCGGGGGGAGTCCGCGCTCGGTGGGATCCGGAGCTGGCGGCGAGCGGGCGGGGAGAGCTGCGCGCGGAGACGCTGGAACCGTGCGGGTGGATCCGCCGGTCGCCGCCGCGCGCGCCCGGGCGCCCGGAGGTTCCCCCTGCGGGAGGGTCCGTGTGCAGCCCGCAGCACATTAGATCGAGAGGAGGTGTGCCGACAGAAAGGATCCGAAATACAGGAAGGTACGTCGCTTTAAAAAGTTTTTAAAAATGCAGTGGTGGTTGCTTCTTTAGGAAAGCACATGGACGCAATTCTCCGTACGCACTTAAAAATACAAGCGACTGCGCCCTGATTGCCAAGGAGCTCTTCAGCGCGGTGGCGGGAATATTCTCTGCCTTGTCTGGGGGTGATGATGACAGAGGAACTAAGTTGTCAAAATTGGTAGAAACTACACTGAAGATCTGCGTATTGTATCGAGTGTATCCGGCACGTCAGCTGAAAAAAAAATCGCACATACATCTCGCATAGAAAAAGCTAATAAGCAACCTGTTGCGCCCAGAAAAAGCCGCTACAGCACAGCTGTAGATACGCATTTTGGCAACTGAGCGCGACTCCGTGGGGTTGTTTATTTTTGCAAGATGGGCCCGGCCGGGAAAGGGGAGCGAGAGGGCTGCTGACATCACTCGGGGCGGGGCCGCAGCGCGGAGAAAAGTCGGAGGGACCCGAGCCGCCCCGGCACAGCCTCAGCATGAGCAGCCACAACGCGTCCGAGCTCCCCATCCTCTGCAGCTCCGGCCAGCTGCTCCTACAGCCGCTCTGGGACCGACTGCGGGCCCGGGAGGCGCTCACGCAGTCGCCCTTGTTCGCGGTCCTCTTTTCCATCACCACGTACGTGGGCTTCTGCCTGCCCTTCGTGGTGCTGGACGTCCTGTGCCCCTGGGTGCCCGCGCTGCGGCGCTACAAGATCCACCCGGACTTCTCGCCGACGGTGCGGCAGCTGCTGCCCTGCCTGGGGCAGACCCTCTACCAGCACGTGGTGTTTGTGCTCCCCTTGACGCTGCTGCACTGGGCCCGTGGCCCAGCGCCCTGGCCCCGCGAAGCCCCTGAGCTGCTGCAGCTGGCGCGCCACGTCGTGGGATGCCTGCTGCTCTTCGATGCCGAGTTCTTCGCGTGGCACGTGCTGCACCACAAGGTGCCATGGCTCTACCGCACCTTCCACAAGATGCACCACCAGAACGCAGCCTCGTTCGCGCTGGCCACGCAGTACATGAGCACCTGGGAGCTCTTCTCCTTGGGCTTTTTCGACATGGTGAATGTCACGCTGCTCCAGTGCCACCCGCTCACCGTCCTGGTGTTCCACGTGCTCAACATCTGGCTGTCGGTGGAGGACCACTCCGGCTACGACTTCCCCTGGTCCACGCACAGACTCGTGCCTTTCGGATGGTATGGCGGCGTGGCGCACCACGACCTGCACCACTCGCAGTTCAACTGCAACTTTGCCCCTTACTTCACGCACTGGGACAAAATCCTGGGGACTCTGCGCTCAGCTCATGCCAAGTGACTCACAGCCTCCCTCCCAGGCTGCGGTGGGGTGGCACAGGGGGTGCCTACCCCCACTCCGACCCAGGACTGCCGCAGGGCGCTTCACACTTGAATCAGGAGAAACACACCTGAGCTGTTGTGTCTTGTTTTGGTTTTGTAAGTAATTTATTACCTGCTGGAGATTTAAAATCTGATGTATTTTTAGTCTAAGTAATTTATATGGTTTCTGTATATTGGCAATTGTATTCTTGGAGTCTTGGAGTCACATTCTAGCTCACTTCAATAGCCTTGGTTCCCGGATATGTTAGACGCTCATCACTGGCATATTTAAATCATCTCAAAAAGGATTTGATTGTAGGACAAGGAAGGTCCTGTGTTTCAAAGTGTCATAGAAATGGGCTAAAATAACGTCTTCTTACGGAGCATAGGATCTCTGACTATATTAGCAACAAACATGTTCCTGCTGGACAGTGATCACAATTGTTGTGCTTTTTTCTATTTTTTCATGTAACAGTATATTTATATTGAAAGAAATGTTATTTGTACTTAAAAAAGAAAGAAAAAGAACAGAACAAGTTTTGCCTGTTGTTTCCTGGGCGTTTAGACTGATCAGTACTAAAACGGGAAGAGGGAGCTGGGGCGGCAGGTGACCTCCATCAGCCACAGAAGGAGAGGAGTCTGGTGGTGGGGTGTTTTGTGGGGCATTTGTAGGAGAGACAAGGCAGAGGCGGCAGAAGGGGTCAGTTAGTCTGTCTGTTTGGGTCTAGCAATTGCACAGAGGGAGAATCTCTGTTGTTCTGAATGGTTTTCAGCTGATTTCTGCATAACAAGCAACTCCGAGAATTACCCTCTAAAGTTTTAGGGAGATTAACCCTGCTCCACCATTTGATTAATTGGAGGGCAGTGGTGTTGGGGGAGGACTAGAATTGGTGGAGTGCATTGCTTTGCAAAACCAGCGAGTCAAGGGTGTGTATGAGAAGGGTTGATAGATACAGAAAGAGATTCTGAGTCAGCCCTCGTTTCTTATGTATCCATCTAGCTAGCATAAGTGACCATCATGCACACAGCTCTGCAATTGGGGATTTTGGGGTTTTCACTTTTCTTAAGCAAAGACATACATGCAAATTGCATTACCCCTTTGTTAAATGGAGAAAAAGTGACATTTGGCCCCAGGTCCCTGGTTCCTCATTTGTAAAAGGAGACTGTGTTCCAGATGTTCTCCCAGATTACTTGCCGCCCTCAATGTCCCTATGACTGACCACACACCTGTCACCTGTCACGTACCCCATCCCAAGCGGCTGCTGCCTATTTGTCTTCACTTTATCTTTGGAACAGAGTTATACAGGGTAAAATAAAACATCAAGACAATTTAGGCAGACAAGTATGAAGAAGGGCAACTTTGCATGTAGTTCTAGGCTCATTACATGCGAACTGAACTATCCTGTTTAAAGATGAAGCATTTGCCTAAGGACCTGGGTTCCTGCCTGGTGAGACTCCCAGGAAGGGTGTCCAGCTCTCCCAAACTCTGGCAAGTTGCAGTCACAATGCCCAGCTCCTCTGCTGATGGTCTCACGTTCCCTCCCAATACATATGCTCTTTGGGTTTATTCACAAAGGCTACTGCTTCCGGGGGGGGGGGCAGAGGCTCCACGCTGGGTCTTACGGATTATACTGACCTGTGAATGTGCAAATAGGCCATCAGAGGCAAGAGGAACTTGCTGCCTCAGGTAGGATGGGTGACATACCGCGCAGAGGAAGGACAGGAGAAGTGACGCGCTGGGATGGACAGGTGTGAAGTATGGGGTGCAAGGGTTACTTGTCTTCAGCAGCTCTGGGCTGCCGACAGATCTGCGACAATGACCGTTTGTCACAGCTTGCTCTCAAGAGATGTTGTAAAATGTCTCCCGTGGCCTCACTGTGTAAGGGAATTTTGCATTTTGGGCCAATTGTACCCATGGAAATTATTTGGGCCCAGAAACCCTTTCTCTCGGTTGACGTTTTATTACTTTTTAATACCTTGGCAGCCGAGGTAGGAGAGTGGAGAGGATGAGAGGTTTTTCAGAAGAGCTCGAAATAATGAGAGTGAAATACTTTACTTTTGCATGCATGCTGATGCTTTTACACATTGTTCCTCTTGCTCCTTAGGCTCCAAAGGGAGGTCGGATGGTTGCTATTATTACCATTACGATGACCATCCTGTGTTACAGAGGGAGAATTGGTACCCATACAGGTGAGGTGACTTGCTCTCCATTATTAGAATATTAGACGGAGGAGCCAGTTCTCGAACTCAGGTCTTCGAATGCTTTTGAAACTCTCCACAATTGCTGGAGAGATATAAACCCCCCAAGCCACCAGCCAATGACTTCTGTCCACTCCTCCTCCCCGGCCACTGCTGCTGCCCTCAGGCACCGAGGCTACCCCCAACTCCCACCTGTCATTACCTGGATGTGAATTTCCCTGGATTCAAAGGCAGGGTACGTAGGCAGGCCCCGAGAAAAACGACCCAGGTCAAGATCTCTGTTTTCCGTCTCCCTCGCTGCACACTGGCGGGGACATACAGCCAGACTGCCCTGGGGGAAGCTTGACTCTGGGCCTTACCTAGCTGAGTGACTCTGGAAAAGTGACTTAGTCTCTCTGCCTTGGCGTCCTCATCGGTGAATGTGGATCATCCCAGATCCCAGGTCCCGGAGTCCCTGTGGGAGAGTCTGCATGACCACAGATGGCTGCAGCGGGTACTTTGGGCTTCAGGATGTCCCGGGGGACCTGGGCCTCCTGTCTACACTCTTGAGCTCTCCCACCTTCCCAGGGACCAAATACAGCCCTGGTTTTGATTTTTTGATCCTGCCTGACCTGGAACGCTGCTCCCTTGTCCTCCTTTCAAGGCTAAGGTGTTGGAAAGAGAGAAGTCTGTGTTTGTCAGGTTCTCGCTCCTCACCCCGAGACATCCTACCCCTGCCTCTTCCTGAAGCATCCGCTCCTGGTTCACTGCTCTCCTCCCAATGATCAATTCCAGTGACTTCCATCCGCCCTGCTTTTTTTCTTTTTAAAGGATAATAGTTTTTGCTAACCAGTCTCTTCACTCTTGCTTAATCGTAGTGCGTTTTCTCCAAACTGCTTTCCTTCCTAAGTCTCCAGCTTCTTTCCCAGGGTGTCCCCCACCCCCACTTTGCCCAGCAGGGAGCCCAGCTGCAGGGTGTTTCTCTTGTTACAAAGTGTCTATGTTGTGTGTGAGGAGTGATCTTTGTAGCAGCAAATCCTGAGATCGCTGCTTGCATGGAATTCTGGCACACACGCAGGGCATGATGTATACGTCCATACACACGCCGTGTGAATACACACGCCGTGTGAATACATATTATGTGGCCACACACAAATCTGCACATTATTATATGTCCACAGGTGTGCATTTACACACACACTATATATATACACACAAAGACACATATGCATACACATATATATACATTACACACACATATACACATATACACACACAGAGTAGATCTATTCCTCTTCTGTCTCTACACACACACACGCACGCACACACACAGACACACTACCATTTCCTTTTTGAAAAAGATTTATTTATTTATTTATTTGAGAGAGTGAGAGCGTGAGAGAGAATAAATAAATATTTATTTATTTGAGAGTGGGATGAGGGGCAGAGGGAGAGAACCTTCCAGTAAACTCCCCACCTGGTACAGAGCTGGACACGGGGCTCCATCCCATGACCCATGAGATCACGCTCGGAGCCTGAACCTACTGAGCCACCCAGGTCCCCCCACCCCCCACTCCGTCACACGCTACCGTTTCTGCCCTGCTCACCATTTCTCTTTGCCTTTACTCATACTGTAGTCCTTCTTGGTGAAGGCTGGTTCAGTGTTGCATGAATTCTGGAAGCACAGAAACACAGCTTTGCACTGAATCCCATCTTTCTTCAGCGGTCCCATCATCCATCACTAGTCCATCCTGGCTTCCTAACTAAGGTCACGCTCACAACACATAATCTCTGCTCTAGAGGAGGTCCTAGTCCACCGAGAAAGACCATCCGGCCAGCAAATCCATCTAACAATGTAGTCAGTTCTCCAGTGGTGGGTATTTTCAGGTCGTTAAGAGAGGCCCAGGAAAGGTGGGTCATTTGAGTAACAGAAACCATGAAGGGTTTGGATGCCTGGGTGGCTCAGTTGGTTAAGTGTCTGCCTTCGGCTCAGGTCATGATCCCGGGGTCCTAGGATCGAGTGTCCCATTGGGCTCCCTGCTCAGTGGGGAGTTTGCTTCTCCCTCTGCCCCTGCTCGTGCTCTCTCTCTCTTTCAAATAAAGGAATAAAATCTTTTTTTGTTTTAAGATTTTATTTACTTATTTGACAGACAGAGATCACAAGTAGGCAGAGAGGCCGGCAGAGAGAGAGGGGGAAACAGGCTCCCTGCCGAGCAGAGAGCCCAATGCGGGGCTCGATCCTAGGACCCTGGGATCATGACGTAAGCTGCAGGCAGAGGCTTTAACCCACTGAGCCACCCAGGCCTCCCAAGGAATAAAATCTTGAAAGAAAGAAAGAAAGAAAGAAAGAAAGAGAGAGAGAGAGGGAGGGAGGGAGGGAGGGAGGAAGGATGGAAGGAAAGAAAAGAAAGAAAGGAACCCAGAAGGGTTTGGATGTGTTCCCCAGGCAGGGTGAGGGGTGTCCCTGGGAGGAGCAACAGCACGGCCAGGCGGAGAAGAATGAAGGAACCTGGCAGCTCCCTAGGAGGAAGGAAGCACGGAGCTCTCGAGAACGAGGGAGGAATGTCAAACCTCTTGACAAACCTCGGTCCCTGCTTAACCCTGTTTGCTCACCTGCCGCTGCTCAGGGGTTTTGGGAGATGGTATGTAAAAGTGCTTCCAAGCCAATGTCAGGGCTTGCTCTTATTTGTTGATTTATAATGACTCCACAGAAGAATGAATAGAAAACTCGAGGGGAAATGATATTCCGAGAAGCTCGGCTTGTATTCTCCAGGAAGCCTGTCCCTTAGGGTGAGGGGAGAGCACCACAGACTTTAGGCAAAGGAGTGATGCGATTAGAAACGGTGGAAGAAGGTAATTGGCAGCAGAGAGCGGTGGTCCTGGTTCCAACAAGGGGACCAATCCAGGTTCTGCTCGACTTCCATCCGGCTCCCTGGCTTAGCAACTCTGTGAGTATAAACCAGTTACTTAACCTACGACTCAGTTTTCTCATCTGGAAAACTAGGGTGGTAGAATTGTGAGCCATAAAAAAGA